AAATGATTTACATGCTAAGCTACTCCACAGCCCCATGGCTGCTAGCACTAGCTACAACAAAATCGCAAATCGATCAAATGCATCCAAGCAAATAGCATCAGTTGAGCCAGATACATCCTTTGAACCAATTACATAGTTTGACCCTGAGCCAGCACCTGTTGCAATGACGAAGTCAGGGTCACCACTGCGTGGCTCTGAGCCTGCTGCAAAGACTCCAATCAGACCTAGAGACCGTCGGGAACGCATATTCCATGGTGATTTCACTTCTTCAGGTAGCGACAAAACACTTGAGATTGATACCTACGAGAAATAATTTATTTGCTATAACATACAAAGCGATCATGGAGCAAAAACAAAAGAAACCATACCGTAAAGCTGGTCCATTCCATGTGGAATTCCATGGACTTCAAGCTTGCTTAAGAAGTGACAAATCTCAAGTAAATATCCGAACAATGCTTGTCTCTCATGCATTCGTAGATCTCTGGTGGTTGATAAGAGAAGACAGGCAGTTCAATAAAGCCCTATTTGATCTTTTAGACGAGCAGGAGCGTGATTTCATGAGGTATTGCTTAAATAAGTGTAGAATTACTTCACGAGGGTTTGAAAGTGCGTATAATCAGCTTCTTGATGGTCTCGTAAAACGCTTAAAGGTGCTTGAAGGTGCTAATCAAATCGGAGACGACAACCCATCAATCAAAATTGAGATGAAGTCCATTTTGGACAAGCTTTATGAGAAAAATGTGTTTTTGACCTCATACTACAGTCAATTCAAGCGTTTGATGAAGCTGTAGCTCGCTTAGACTCAACAATCTTGAGCTTAAATATACGATGCTTTACATTAAGTCATGGATGCTCTCATAAAAAAAGAATAAGACGTATCGAGTGATTCTCAGTAATGGTGAAACGATTGATTTCGGTGATACTCGTTATGCTCAATATAAGGACCGAACGCCACTGAAGGCATTTCAGCATCTTAATCACAATGATCGTGATCGACGAGCAATATATTACGCTCGACACAAAATTGACTACCCTGAATTTACACCAGATTGGTTGAGTAAG